GAGAGTAGGGGCTGGGTACTTGCACTTCTTCCACTAACCCTCAGCAAGTCTGCAACTGAGGAGTATCGAGACCACGGGACACAACAGATCACAGGCTGGAACCAAGCAGAGTGAGACCAGCTCTGTTCAGGGAGCCTACCCCTCACGCCCATATGGTACCTTTCTGTCCCTGAAGCTCTGTCATAGACACCACATCACTTTATAAAAGCACTGCATGTTAATTCGACAAACCGATATTTCTCTGATAAATGACTGCATAAGATATTACCCTCATGCCATGAGGATGGCTACTATCAAACAACCAGGAAGTAACGAGTGTCGGTGAGGATGTGGAGAAGTTGGAGCCCTTATTTGTGCGCTGTTGGTTGGAATAAAATGGTGCAGCCACTATGGAAAACAGTACGGAGGCTCCTCAAAAATGAGCATAAGCTGGGCGGGTGGCTCACGCCTGTAATCCTTGCACTCTGGGAGGCTCAGCGGGTGGATTGCTCGAGGGTCAAGGTTGAACCAGCCTGAGCAAGAGCGAGACCCGTCTCTACTTAATAGAAGATTAATTGGCCAACTTAATATTATTAAAATTAGCGGGCATGTGGGCAGCCTGTAGTCCCCTACTCGGGGAGGCTGAGGCAGGAGGATCGTTGAGCCCAGGAGTTTGATTGCTGTGAGCTAGGTCGACGCGTACGGCACTCACTTAGCCTGGGCACAGCGGGACTCGTCTTCAAAAAAAAAAAAAAAAAAAAATGAACATAGAATTACCATATGACCCAGCAATTCTGCTTCCGAATACAGCATATATAAAAAAAATTGAGTGCAGGGTTCTGAAGAGATATTTGTACAGCCATGTTCAGAGCAGCATTCTTCACAATTGCCAAAGGCGGAAGCAATGCAAGTGTCCATTGATGGAAAATGGTGATAAATGTATACAAATCATGCATGCTATTCGGCCTTAAAAAGAAAGGAAATTCTAACACGTGCTACAACACAGGTGAACCTTGAGGACATTATGCCGAGTGAAATAAGCCAGCCACAAACAGACAAATACTGAGTAAGACACCACTTCCATGAGGTCTCTAAAGCAGTTGGACGCACGGAAACAGGGAGCAGGGCGGTGGCTTACAGGGAAGCGGTTCGATGAGCAGTTTCCCCTCTGCAGGATGAGGCAGCTCTGGAGAGCTGTTGCCCAACAACCTGAATACACTTCATACTATTGAAATGGACACTTGAAAATGGTTAAGATGGCAAATTTCATGTTATGTATATTTTACCATGAATTTTTAAAATTTTAAAAGTAGAAATATTGCTGTCCTTACAGGGTAAAAGTATAAATACTTGGCAACTCTTTTGCAGAAAAAAAACAACACAGTTGTTCTGGAAACAACTCGAAGAAGGTGATGCCGAGAGCTCACCTCACTGGACAGGACCGTGAAGGACAGACACTCTCTACACGCTTCCTACGTGGGGTTCAGGAGGCTGAGCCTCCCCTCTCTCCACCCCTGCAGTGCTCTGTCTCTCCTCTGAAGTGCGTTGCTGGCTGAGATCGGGAGCAGATGACGCATCTAAAATCACACAGTGTGGGGGGAAGAAACGCTCCCGGGTCTGGAACGTGCGTGTGTAGTAGCCTGGAAGCGAGTGTCGGCTGGATACACGAGGAGACGCTGCCAAGGAAGAGGATGACTGTCTCCTACAGAACCGGAAACCACGGGCCATAGTCTCTCATGCCATCGCACCACCTTCTTTGTTAAAAATTCCAGCAATAGTAATTCCAGAAATTAACTCCCTTTGGGGGAGCTATGGGAGCTGACGTTTTTTTCTTTACATTCCGCCCACACAACTCTCATTCCAAGCACAGCCACGTTTTGTTCCGTCCCTGCGGCTCATGGGGGCCACTTCTTAGTGAATGAATGAATAAACAAACGGTTGTGAGTGACTTAAAAAACACACTCACTGAGTTAACTTCCCTATCTTTGTTCCTGCACCTATTCCGTTCCTACAGCAAGAACTCCAAGCATCAGATATCTGATACTTGAGTCTGTTCTCGTGGCTTAACTCAGGTATGAAAAATGCTATATGATGAGGACGTTCTAATAAAGTCCATTAATCACCAGGACAGGCCAGGTCAGGGCAGCGGCAGAAAATAGAATGCAAACACAGTTCCTGTGACTGGAGTTGTCCGAAGCCCGCCAGAGCCAGGCTGGAGGCAGACACCCCCGGCAGGATGAACTTGGAAGGGAGGGCGTTTGAAGGACCAGGAACGGCTATCATGTCACACCTGTCTCACTATGATTCTTTTTAGAGGAGACCAGAGTAAAAGATATGCTGAAAATCTAAACTTATTTTTTAAACGTCAATTTACAAGATCAAATCTTCTGCATTTTCCCTCAGCCTCGTTAGGAAACCGGGTGCAATGTAAGACACCAGTCTCTCTCCCAGGTTAGCCGGAAGACGCCGTTATAGCCCCAAGCGAGGGCACTCCGCCAGGCGGAGAGAGGAATTTGAATGAGCGGCCGCCCTACCTCTGCAGAAGGCTCCCGGTCCTTCCAATGTAACCTAGAAAACCAGGCGCTGATGGCAGAACGAGGTGTGGGGGTGGCTCTGGAGACTCACCCACCCCAGGGAAAGGCAGGGGGGGAGGCAGGGGGGTGCCCCAGGAAGCGGGCACTGTGGTGGCAGGGGAGGCTGGCAGGTACAGCTCCGAGGGTAGGCTCCTTGGCACTCTTCCGATTTGGCACCAGGAGCGCATGACTGGCACGCTGGGCACGAGCAGTGGATCATAACGTGGGTCCCACCACTCAGGGAGGCCCCCGAGCCTAAGAGGGGCCAGCGGAGCTCGCTCGGTGGCTCTGGAATCTGACAGTTCCGCAGCGCCAGACACCCGGGAAGCCTTGAGGTTCCAGAGCTCGTGATCTGGGTTTTTAATTAGATTCGGTCTCCAGGCCTCCATGGAGAATAAAATAATCCCAAATTCTCATGCACAAAACTTTGAGCTGTAACCATAACACGAAAACATTCTCATGGATGGTACTTACTTAAAAACAAATGTTTCGTGAAAATGATTCACTCCTGTTCCCAATCAGCAAAACTATATTTAAATAGGATCAGAAATCTCACAAAAACAGTTTTGGTGTGGATATGTGGTCTTGGCCCATTTAGCCTAAATTATCCTACGTGCATCTCCCTCTCCTGTTGGCCTGTCTTGGGGGGGGGGCAGAGTCACCCCCTCCCAGACAATCCACAAAAACCTGGGATTATCTCTGCCTGGTAATAATGGCAGTAATGTTGACACAGCAGCGGTTCTCAACTGGGGGAGATTTAGTGTCCTTGGGGACATCTGTCAATGTCTGGAGGCATTTTTGGAGAGAAGTATGGAGCAAGAAATGCAGGTGAACATCCTGCATGCACAGGACAGTCCCCAGCAACAAAGAATTCTCCAGTCCAAAGCGTCAATGGCACCGAGGCTGAGAAACCCTGCTTACATAGGGCTTGCTCCGTGCTGCTGCTGTGCTGAGTATTTTATATATATCAATTCAGTGAATCCAGCGCTAGGAGTGAGGTGCTATTATCATTCCCATTTTGCAGGTGAGAAAACTGAGGCTCAAAAAATGAGGTGACTTGCCCAAGACCAAGTGAGTGTTAAGTTAAAATTGGAACCAGGCCATTAGGTTCCAGAGGCTACACTACCACAACATGGCACAGCCCCCGAGCTCCTGGTCCTCCTTGTCCACGCCCAGGAAGTCACAGAATCCTTTAGAGCCAAGCTCTGCACCCTTCAGCTTGGTTCCTGTCACCTCAGCTGTCCCACCTCTCGGCCTCTACTCCGCCTGCAATACCCACCCCCGCCTTGATGATCTGGCAAACACCTACTGACCCTTCAGGAATCAGTCCCAGTGTCACCTCCTCCGGGAAGCCTTCCCAGAACACCTCAGCCCTCCAGGTAGAACTGACCGCTCCCTTCTTTGTGCCTCCACCATTCACTTCCACAGCCTCTGTTCAAATGCATTAGTATTTTTCTTTACTTTCAAGTCCGTCCCTCAAGGACAGGAACTTTATGCTGTTTCACTTATCTCTGAAGTTGAGCCAAGGAACTGGGTAGTCACTTAGCAAGTATCGGAAGAATGAAAGATGAAATCCCCCATATGGCTTGAATTCTTCCAGGCTTGGGGGAGTCACTGTCTGCAAAGGAAACCTATGCTGCTGGACACCACTGCTCTTGGGAAGTCCTTGCATGAGGGAGAAGCCAGTTGCTGCACTGCCTCCACAGGAGCCCTATGCCCAGGACTGCCCGGGCTGCCCCTCGGTGCTAAGACGATGTCGTCACCCACGTTAGGATCCGCTTAACCCGACAGACATTTCCCGCGCCCTCTCCTCTTCCTAACAGGCACGGTTTCAAGCTCCTGCACGGCCCTACGGTGTGTCACAATGACTAAGCGAACCCAGATCACCACGGTGTGTCATAATGACTAAGCGAACCCAGATCACCACGGGCCTAGGGAGAAGCTGGTGATACTTGGGAAGAGAGCGCAGATTCCTGACACGGTGCTTACTGTGCACTTCACATTGGGGGTCTCAAGTTCAAGTGCATAAAGGCCCAGGCAGGCCAGATCTTTGGGTTTTTCAAGAAAAGCTTGAAATTTGCATTTTCATACAAGTTTTAGACACTGGTAATTATTATTATGTTTTTAATATGCAGCAAGGTGTTTTCCAAACTAACCGCATTCTGGCGCCAGCTCTGGCTGTCGGCTGTCCATTTGTGGCCTTGGCTTTAAATAAAGAATTGCATGAGCGATTCCTAAATTTAAGTTTTTGCATCTAGTGTTGGAAATGTGCACAGATATATCGAGAGTTGTGGACATACAAGGGCAGAATTTAAATTTGAAATTAAGCTAGAACACTAGGGTTAAAAATAACTTTGAGGCATAAATCACCAAAGAGGGTGAGTGAAACAGAGAAAAACAGGGAGTCTTTCTAACCAGTGCCCAAAGCTGCAGCAAAGACTCAATTACCAGTCAGCAAATCCATCTCCAGCAACGCCTGGAACAGGCTGGGATGCTTGTCTTTCAGCTCCTTCTCCCAGGGGAAGGCTCTGCACGTCGAGGGGCGCCCGTACCTGCGCTTGAGGTCCAGGTAGGAGTTGCGGAGGTGGCCTGCACAGGAGGGGAAGCACAGACACCACACCCTTTAGGAGAGCGAAAGACCCACCTCTCTGAGACCTTCCTACAAGAAGCTAGAAATTAGAGGCCAGACTTAACCTTAGTGGATGCTGGTTTGGGCCCTTTAGGGATGTGAAATTGGCTATGCTGCCTTTACCTCCAGGTCACAAATTCAAAGCCAAGTCCAAGGGAATTGTGCCAAAGTTGCTGATGGCCGTGAATAATTCTACAGAGTGAGCAGCTGGCCTCGGCCTGGTCCCCAGGAGGCCAATATCTAGGCCAGTTGGTTGGCATGCGCGTGGAGGAGCAAAGCAAGTAGCCCAGGGAGGCAAGGCAGTCGAAGATGTTAAGCAAAGTCCTCCTTAGGCCACCAAACAGATCAGCATGCAAGGCTGGCCTTCCAACTCAGGGCATCTCTCCCGATAGTGCATCAGCTACTTTACCAAAATCAGTTTCTTTCCTGTTTGGGATAATACTGTTCCTACATATCTTCCCCTCCTCTGACAGCATCATCATTTCTGGATGATTCAGCCGTGAGAGCAGCAGCTGGGGACCAGCACAGCCTATTCTTAAATCAAATCTCAGGAACGCTGCCTTCCACACTCACCTATCACCATCTGCAATCGCTACCTGGGACCATTTTATGTGAACCCTATTGGACCCAGGCACGTTCGAGACGCATCTATCCCTCCAGGGCCTGGGAACGGGAAGTTCCGCTCTGGAGACAGAGAGACATATGGGCAGGACTGAAATACTCAATTCGCTTCTGCTGATGGCAAAGGCCCCACAGGAATTTCTCTTCCAGAAGGAACATATGTGAATAACTTTAGTGCCCTATATCAAACAACCAAGGTCTACGGCACAGAGAAATCTATGAGTGCTAGATCCAAGCTGGAACACGGGAAGACCAGACAGGACCCAGTTTTGTAACTGACAAACACCCTGTGTGAGTAAAAGGATGTCCGTGGGCAAATATGAGCACACATGAGAGCAGTCTACTTGAAAGTCATCCCTTCTGCTGAACATGACCAATGCCTTCTAGGATGAGTCAGTTTCAAGGATTTAAAAAATAAAACCGAGCCCCAAACAACAAAGTCATTGTTCAACATTTCTGAAAGCTAATATTCAGATATTAATGATCCAAGACAAAAAGCTCACTGATGGGGAAATATTTCTAATGATTAATTTATTTTCCAATTCGTTTTTATTTTCTTAGGCTGGTCTCATGGATGGGACTAATGCCACTCGAGGTGCAAAACACCCAGTTTCATTTGTATTCTTAAACTAGATTTTAATGGGGCAAGCTGTGAGACGTGTTTTGGTTCTTCCTGTCACTGGTCTTTCTGGAATCCAGGTGGAATGTATGCTTTCACTTGCATCCGTCCTGGGGGGCTGGAGGTGACCCTTGTCCCCACCGGTATCTGAGCCTGGTCATACATGTTAGATTTTAATCCCATTAGGGAGAAGACAAACATGGGTAGTACAGATGCACAGAGCTTCGAATGGCTCCCCTGAAGCTCAGCACTTACATGCTTCTTGTCTCTCGTCCCCGTGCTGTGTCGCGGATGCGTACGCTGATATTATTTCTTGAACCTCAGCGCACCTTTCGTAATAAAGCTTGATTTGTTCAGCAAGTTGCTTCTCAAGGAGGGGATTAAAAATCTACAAGAAGGCAAGAAAGTCGAATGAACAACAATTGTCATGAAATATCCATCCGCATCTATGAGGACGTGTTCAGGTTGGCTTCACTGTCCCCCTGACATCTCCAGGTGGCTTGTTGACACACACATCCCACCCACTCTGGATTGGCAGACCAGAGTTGTCTGTACATTAAATCAAGGACGTGCCAGCTCTGGCTAATTCCCTCCAGCTTCTTTTTGTAGCCTCTTCTCCTCTGCAGAGCTTCTTAAATGGCAGGATTTCCCAGAGACTGGGCCTCCACCCTCTTCTTTTCCCACTGCGCATGTTTCTAGAAAATCACGTTCATCTCCACCTTCCCACCAAGAGACGTAGGGGTGCCTGTGCTATGCCTGCTGCCCAGGAGCCCTCGACCCCTGTTCTTCTGCTGGGCAGGCTGGTGGGTGCTCCAGCCCCAAGAGCTGGATGCAAGGCCACTGCTTCAGGCGACCTTCCCAGGAGCTCACCCCACCTCGCCTGGGGGCAGACGCACCTCTCCCCACTCGGTGCTCCCAAACAAGGCGTCTCATGTTCTCTCACGGCTCACCTGTCTAACATCCAGAAAGGGAGCTCCCCGGGAACAGGGGACTTATCTTAACTCGGTGTGATTGCAAATACAGATTGGGACCCACTAGAGGGCCATGCAATTATTTCAGCATGTGGTGACTAGCAGAGTGTTGGTGGCGTTGTTTGTTTTTATAAAGTAGAACACAAAATATCAGAGTGCATTGAACAAAGCAAGGGTTGTGTTCTTAGCATAATTTCTGTTTCGTTTTTGTGTGTAAATATATATATATATATGCATATGTATGTTTTGTTAATGATGTTAAATAGACTTCATATTGTGCACTACATTCCAAAAAAATTTGTTAAAGCTGCCCTCTTAATCCATCTTGCTTGACTCAGCACTAGCCCAGAGCCTGGCTCATAGGAGGTACGCAACACATACTTGTTGAACTAATGAATACATGAATGTCATTTTTTCCCCTTTTCGCAGAGGTCTCTCACCAGAGGCTCTAAGATGTCACCCATGGGCAGTAAAGCCCCCCAGTTTTCCTAGTTATGGCTTGGCCTAGTGACCCTTGCTTTTCCCAGAATAAACCCCACAGGGTCAAGGGAATGAAAGAACGTTGCTCTCTCGGGTGTCAGTGGGGTCCGGGTCTCCTTATCACAGCCCGGGAGCAGCGGGAGCGCGTCCTCGTGGGGGAGCAGCCCTCTGCCCCCAGCCCGCTGGCGCTGGCCCGGAGAGTTGGGCAGCTCCATTCGGGGTGGGTTTTGGATGCGAGAACCGCTGTGCGGTAGATTCAGTTCTGCACACAAAGCCCTCTTCGATCCGAAAAGACGCTGCCAACCCACCCCAGCGTGAGCCTGCGCTTCTGAAGAGAGCAGCCAGTGGAACCAAGATTTTAATTTGCTGCAGCGAGCGTCTCCTCTTCTGATACTCTAAATAATAGCATACAAGAGAAGCTTTACCAAATAACTAAGATTCTCTCCTTTCATTAGCTTAATCACTGGATAGGCAACAGCCTGATAAAAATCTACTCTGTAATTAAGCTAGTAGTTATTAAAACAGAGGAAGTAAATGATTTCCATTTTATGAGTACTAAATGAACCAAACCTTAACAGAAATCTACCATTGTGTTTGCTGGGGGGAGGTGTCTCTATTAGTTATGCTCCCTGACAGAGGCGAAGCACCGTCAGGCCTGGGGTCCACACCCATCACCCATGGGTGCTGCAAACTTCCGGATCCCCTGGACTCACCTGGGCGGGGTGCAGACTGCGGAGGCGGTAGTACTTCAGGGGTCCAAAAAACCCTTCAATGCCAGCCACGTACCTGCTCCCTCCAATAATGAAGTACCCAGCTGTGTCATTGTAATGGAAATCCTCCCGGAAACTGGAGAAGAGCACAGAGGATTTAGACAGCCCTGTGCTGGAACCGGAGTATTTAAAAAGACACTCTTTCATCGACCCTCCTAGACTCAACCCGAGCTGCCCCCACCCCTTCACTCTGGGTTTTCCAGATGGGCCCCGTGTGGGGTCAGGTGGACTGGGATGGGCTGGGATCCCAGCTCTGGTCAGGTGGGTGGGCTGGGATCCCAGCTCTGGTCAGGTGGGTGGGCTGGGATCCCAGCTCTGCTATTTGCCGGCTGTGGGGCCTCGGCCCAGTCCCTTAACCTCTCCAAGACTCTTTTCTCGCTTTTCTTGTTTGTTCTTCACACATGGGATTGTCAAAAGGATTAAGTGAAATGTAAAGATGTAAGGCATCTAGCAGAGTGCCCGGCCCACAGTAAACACTCAGTCCCTGCTGTTAATATTGGTGATTTTGTTTGCAATCAATAGAATTATTTGGAATCGTTGGTTTTAATTGGAAATGTTCTGCTCTAAAAGGGAAGAAAACAACGTGTTGAATGAATAGAAGGTGGCTGTGGGGGACACTGAAAATGTAGACTATTCGATGGGGACTGCCATAAAATTCAGTTAGGAGGATGCCCCAGCAAGGTCAAAATGCGTGACCAAAGACAGGTCGGCCCAGGTGACAGGCCAGGTCCACTCCACGCTGTCCTGAAGGGCTGAAAGCATCAGGAAAGGAATGGAGGGAAAAATGGGGTGGCATGAAACAAAATGCTTGAAGGTGTTCCTTGCAGTTGTTCACATTCACCAAAAACTGGCAACCCCCCGGTGTCCGTCTGTGAGAACCGGCCCATCCATCCAATGGGTCCTGGACTTGAGCTTTTTTTATAAAGCATTTGAAAAAAGGGTTAAGAACCTGGAGAGAGCTCCAAAATATGTTAAGTGAAAAAGTAAAAGTGAAAAAGTAAAAGGTATACATGGAGTATACCTTTTATCTAAGAAACAGGAGAATGGACTTATTTTTTTGTATTTGCATAAAGAAACTCTGGAAGTCTACACAAGAGACTGATACAAGTATTTCCCCCTCGGGGTGGGGGGCGGGGTGGAGTACATGGGGGTAGAGTTGGAGGCGAGACATTTAACTGTATTTTCATGTAATTCTGACTTTTTAAACCATGTGCATTTTTTGTTGCCTATTTAAAACTGAAATAGGAATGGGTGGACAAGATGTGATCGGAGCATATGTGAACAGCAAGAGGGGGGTCAAGTGGGAAGCCAGGCAAAGAGGAAAGAGCCAGGGAGCACAGAGGGCAGATGGAAGCACAAGGAAAGGACACAAGAGGCAGGCAGGCCGCCAGGAGCCCGGGGAGCTGAGGCAGCAACGGGCCAGGGTGACGAGGCTGGGGACACTGCGAGCTACCCTCAGTTGAGTCAGGACAGCCAGGCAGCCAGGGTTATTCCAGAGCAAAAGATGGACTGTTTATTAACAGAGAACCCAACCCCAGGCAGGTGCTCTGGCTAGAGAGGAAGCACCACAGGGTGAAGCAGTGGGGTCGCTAGGAAATGAGCTCTGTACAAATGCAACCCAAATGCAAAAGAAGGGCCCCAGCTCCTGCTGTTTTCCTTTTCAGAATCTCAGCCTTGAAGGACTGTCAGCATGATGGGCTCTTTCCCTTTTCTTAGGAGAGGCCACAAAGTCACCACCTCTGAGAATTGTGAATTGATTCTATCTTTCAAGACCTTGGAAAGACGTTAACATTCCAACAGCCCTCATGAGACAGCACCTGGCGCTGGGTCGATACTAAGCAATGCTTCTCCGGACCAGCTCCAACTCTCCGCTTTTCCCTCGCCGCCTACCTGCCAGTCTCCGCTCCTCTGCAACACTCACTAACCGATGCCTGCAACGTGCTTGGATGCTCGCTGCCGGAGGCCACTCTCTGGAGCCTTGGTCTCTCCATTTTTAAGATGGAAATAGTAATAGTGCCTACGTGGTTGTTGTGAGGATTAAATAAACTAATATATAAGCAAAGTATTTGCACAGTCAGGCGCACAGTAAGCACCATAACCGTTAGCTACAGTTGTAATTATTTTTAACCTAGTCCACTATTGGACTTTTGCTCTCCCCATTTGAGTTGCATGCTCAGCAAGGGAAAGATGTGTTTATTCTCAAACCACTTAATGCCAATCGCATGGTCACTATAATCATACCACTTATTAATACATAAATATGTAATCTGATAAAACATGCGTGCAGAACAAAGACTTGCTCTATCTACAAAAACTAAGTTGATTATTTTGGATAGATTCAGCAAAGAGAGGTTACTAAAAAAATTGTGGCATTAATACAATTATGCAAGGTTGGGAAAATAAACTGAGGAAATCTGTATGGGTTTGGGGCTCTGATTGTTTCCTAAATATCTTTATTTTCATTTGGAAAAAACAGAACTTGCATGATGCACATGTGAGAAAGACCACAGGGAACTCCAATTCAGAGATCTGTACTCGAAGTATTTAGAAAAACTGCCAATAAATGTACATTTGTATGTATTTTTTAATTAAAATAAGATGTTTAAGGTAAGTGGCCAGGTGCAGTGGCTCATGCCTGTCATCCCAGCACTTTGGGAAGTCAAGGCAAGAGGATCATTTGAGGCCAGGAGTTTAAGACCAGCCTGGGCAACATAGTGAGACCCCATAACTACAAAAAAAATTAAAAATAATAATAATTAGCTGGGCAAAGGCCATGTGCCTATAGTCCCAGCTACTTAGGGGGCTGAGATGGGAGGATTGCTTGAGTCCAGGAGTTCAAGGCTGCAGTGAGCTATGATCAGGTCACTACACTGTGGCCTAGGTGACAGAGAGAGACGCTACCTCAAAAAGGAAAAAACAAAAACAAAAACAAAAAAACTGCTTCAAAAATGTTAAGGTAAGTATCTTTTTTAAAGAATCCCTACTTTAATGGAGTTTTTCAACTAATAACAAATTACTTGGTCCCAATGGCACTGGACTGTAATCTTTAAGTTGTCATTATCAACCAACAGGAGATTTGTCCAGCTTGGTCCCATCTACACCAGTGTGTCCACATTTTTCTTCTCTAAAATTCTCAGTGTCTGCACAAAGATTGCAAGAGATTCCTCGTACCATGCACTCTTTGATGCCCATCGATTCCGCTGACATAAAAGCTGAGCTAGACTCTTCCAAAGCCCAAGCTGGTCCCTTTCGAAAACCTCCGACACGACACTCTGGCAAACTGTCTTTACTCTTATCTGGACATAGGACAGTGGGCTGGTTGAGTGTGGCGGAGGGCCAGTGGCCCGAAAGAATCAGTCTTTGTTCAATGGGCCTCACCCGGAATAGAACATAGCTCCAGCTTGAGGTTCCTTTGGTAGAAGAACTTAGAGCCTCGAGTTAGCTGTCCCCTGTGCCTCTTAAATGTCACTTCCTCGGGACCTGCTCTAAATTCTGACCCCTTTGTTCTCCTCTCAAGCCACCCTATTCATTTCCTTCCTAGCAATCACCACAGCGTGCAATTTTAAATTTATTTGTGACTTTACTTGTTTAACACCTGTCTCTCCTACTAGAGTCTAGGGCTGCCACTGTTACTAGGTAAGGAATCATTTGGATGCTTAAACTGGGATGTCGAATTGGTATGTATCCCCAAATCAGTCCTGATCCCTAGAACCTTACATGCTCATAGTGATCCTGTCTTAAAATATGGATATTTTGTTCACCATGGATTCTTTGCATTCATTTCAGTTTTTAAATCAATATTGTATTAAGATATTATTTATCATGGTTACTACTGGGTTGGATTGTGCCCCACCCCCACTCCCCAAATTCATATGCTAAAGTCTCAATCCCCCACTCCTCAAATTCATATGCTAAAGTCTCAATCCCCCACTCCTCAAATTCATATGCTAAAGTTTCAATCCCCCACTCCTCAAATTCATATGCTAAAGTCTCAATCCCCCACTCCTCAAATTCATATGCTAAAGTCTCAATCCCTGGTGCTTCAGATTGTGACCTTATTTGGAAATACGGTCATTGCAGATGTATTAATAATTAGTTGAGATGAGGTCCTACTGGATGGAGTGGGGTGGGCCACTCACCCGATGTGACCGGTGTCTTTCTGAAAAGGCGAAATTTGGACAGAGACAGTGAGAACGCCATGTGAAGATTGGGGTTATGCTACCACAAGCCAAAGAGCCACCAGAAGCTGGAGGCGCCAGTTTCTCTGTCTGGAACAGAGCCTCTCTAGCACTTTCAGAGGGAGCTCGGGCCAGCCTGCACCATGATCTTGGACCTCTGGCCTTGGGATCTGAGACAATATATTCCTATTGCTCAAGCACTCAGTTTCGGTACTTGGCTCTGCAGCCCTAGCTCACTTACACGTTTCCTGAGCTGTCAGGCACCCCCTTAAGTTTTAGGTTCAGGGTAGGTCCCTCACTCACCTCCCCTTGGTTCCAGCCCAGGATCACAGCATGACCACTCTGTCTACCATTCACTCACATTGGCCTCTAAGTCTCTGCACTTAAGAGGAAAAGGAGCCCTTACACAGAAAATGAAAAGGAGCCTATGCAATTCAGTGGTCAAAAATGTCCTGGGGTTGGGGACAGGGAAGAAAGGGGAAGCCACTACATTAATCCTGAAACAAAACCCTTAATTTCTGGAGCCCGCCTCACAGAGCACAGTGCTGGAAGAGATTTCCAGAGGACCCATGGATCATCTGTGTCTCCAAAGACAGCTCTCAAGCTTTGCTATTCTTGAATTTGCAGAGAAGCCCCCAGGGCCACCTGTTACATAACAGAACTCGAGGCTGTCGCAGGCTATCTGGTGATCCACGTCCACCTTGGTGCCCTCAGAGACTTTTGCTCTGCCCTCAGCCCTCAGCCTCCACACTTCCATACAGCCACCCATCACCCCACACCTTCTCATCGCAGGCTAATAATCACGATTCTTCAGCCTTTCTATCAAACTCTAATCCTTTAATCCAGCCATGAAAATAAGAATTGTTCTATGTGCCCAGAGCCTGAAAGAAATCAGTTTGCTTTGAATGAAAACAGGTATAGTGAAAAAAAAAAAAATCCCTGTATTCCTGTCCCTGTCTCTCTTTCCTTTCTTTAATAAGCAGTTTCCAAGAGAATTCCGGTTGTGTGGAATGCTGCTTACCTGGAGCCTCTTTGGAAAGGTGGCATTCCGCCTGCCACACTGAAATGTCCAAAGGCTGGAGGAATAAACCACACCCCACCCCAGAAAAATGGCCCAGCGGTCTTGATACACTTTTTTAACACTATACATACAAAACTGGTCATTTTTGTTTCTTATTTTTACACTTCTTTTTAAACATTCAATTACAGATGCTCCTTGAGACATGATGGGGTCATGTCCTGATAAACCCAACATAAGTCGGAAATACTGCAATGCAAAAATGCATTTAATACCCCAATAAACCCATCATAAAGCCAAAAAATCAAATGTCGGGGACCACCGGTACACATATATTATCTAACTATGACAGCACGTCCCACATTCCCAGTGAAGGTTGCCCTGTGGTTCTGACATTATAAAACCTGGTATTATATGTGGATGTAGGAGCAAATTAAAAAATTATGAAACACAAGGCAAGGGACCCAATGCTCAGCTTCTATGACTCTGGTAGAGAATGGTTATATAAGAATGAAAAGTGACACCAATATCAATAGTTGCATACATTTCAAATCTAGATTATAAACATAAATATGCAGGCTGTCTGCTTTTATGTTTTCTACTAGGCCAAAGTTACTAACTATCCTCAATAAGCAACATTATTACTTTGATTTATTTTTCAGAATCCTTCACAGAAGATAATTTTCAAAGAAAATGAATTATAAAGTGCCATGAAAGGAAGAATTTACAATGAGTTTGGAGAGAGGACTAGTTTCTCTTGTTTAGAAAAAACATTGTATGGGAAACCAGAAGAGTTTGTACATGGTAAAAAAAAAAAAAAAAAAAAAAAGTACAAAGACTAGCTACAGGGCAGAGAACAGTCCATGCTTGGAAAAGCTGAATGAGCAGATATGGAATAACGTTAGGGTTGAGGACTAAAATACGAAATTCATTAACCCTCGTGCAGCCAAATTTTGAATAAAAAGAAAAATCGCACTTACCTAATGGTCTGATCATGGTAGCTTCTCAAATCTTGGCCAATGCTAGCGGTCACGACTATCTATGATGGGAGAGACATACAAGGGTCAGCTACGCCTCAACGCCCCACATGATAAATACAGTCCTTGGTGTAAATTACTCATCACACGTGCCGGAGAGGCTTTCACCTGATCGGTTTCCGCAGAAATAACAGTAACGCTTTACTAGCCCTGTGCATGTTTTGAGACTTAATAAATTTAACTTCCTCAAATGACTTGAGGTGGCTAAAAATATCTACAATGCAGTTTCTGCCAGTGGGTTTCAGATACTTCCAAACTCCAAGCTGAAGTTTTGTTTGATCTATTTGTCTAGAAAGACAAGACAATGTGTATGATACTACAGGGAGTTTTTAAAAATTTACTCTGATTCCATGAGAGCCTTAGCAGGAAAACAAGATTGAGGCTGTATGTTCTTCATGCTCTGCAGTTCCCACCACCCCTCCCTTAAGCACTGGGCAATTTCTGTAGTGAGTGTTGTTAGCTGTTGCACGTGGGTTCTTTTCGTGTCCTGGACTTCAACATAAGCCTCTGGACCTAAGGGGCCACTTATATTCCTCCAGTGCTACCAGAGCAAGTGTTTAGGAAACTGGTGCTGGCCGACCTAGATTTTTCAAAGATCGGGCTACAACACTGTCTGTGAAAGACAAACTAACCCATTCAAAACCAACTCAGTGCAGCCATGCAACTTATTGGTTCAGAAAAGGAAATTACTCAAGTCAGTTGTTTCCCTAAAGTAAGCATTTGCTTTAAGTCACTTGTCCACTCGGTCAAAGCAATGAGTGTGGCAGTGCCACCACGAAGATGGATTTGGGGTGAAAGCTTTTGTTCAGAACCTGCAGAGGGAGACCAGATGGGACAGAATAAAGGACAAATGGGCAAAAGTCTACATACACCAAAAAAACATTCTTTTTTCTTCCAGCTATCTGGCCTTTCTAATTCTTGTCTCCTGCTTGACTCTAGCATGTGCCCTGCCATTAATTCCACCTCTTTCATTAGAGGATAACGTCTACTCTTCTTCTGCTCAAAAATCTTCCATGACACCCTATTGCCTTGCAAGTTGAAGTCCAAATTCCCTGATTTTCAAGATCCTCCAAATTCTAACCTTAAAGCCATAAGTTGTTTTCTTCTATTAGTTTTCTACAGTCTGTAAATTTCTACTTGAGTCAAACTGGTTTATCTGCTAACCTCCAATAATGTGCTGAAACACCCCCCTCTCCTTTCTTCTCCATATAAATGCTGCCCAAACTAGAGACCTTCTCCGAGGAACTACCCTGAGCATCCCAGCATGAAATGCTGTCTCTCTTCTAGGAATCAATATGAATCATTTGGCAGTGAAGCTTGCCTTATGACATGCCTTCACCTGCTCAATGTTACTTCCATAAATAGTCTATAAGCAACTTGAGCATAGTGCCTTGCATACAGCAGGTGCAAAATAAGATCTGTGAATTTCCTCTGATGGTTTGATATCTGTTTCAGGGACACATAGCACTGAGATGACCTTCTCCTTAGCAGGAAGCAGCAACCAAGCTATAATGCCATCATAATCCTCACACAGATAGGAAGCTAAAACGAGGACCATAGCTATGTCACCTAACATTTTTAAGGACACGGACATTCAAAAAATCCCAGCTAACATTTTACAGACTCTTCTCAGGAAAGCAGCAAGGACTGACCTGAATTTCTTTTCTCTTCAGAAAAAGGAAATGTGAGAAACCGAAACACCAAGGGAAGATTGTGTATCATTTAATGTGCAAGACAAACAAAATTTCTCTTCCAGTTTTGTTACAGGAACATCACAAATCAATAAGAAAAGCTGATGAAAAAAAATCAAGTAACCAGAAAAAGGCAGCAAAGTGGCATCACGTATATAGAGAAATGGAATTGTCTTCAATTATAACAACAGATTTGCCATAATCCATAAAATTAGTGCTATGAGAGTTTGAAACAGTTATGTGCGCTGTTTTACAGTACAAAGTAGATAAAGACCTTCCATCCCACCAGGATTACCATGTATGTTTGTTAGTTATTATGAGCCTATTTAATGCCAAACATAAGCAATTATTTCAACTGCCAAAAACAGTCAAACCATTTCTTGGCTGAAATAACCAATAAATTTCCTTTAAAAAAAAAGAAGAAGCTGTAGAGCTAATAACACTATGCAAACATGGCCAATGCTGTTTTAGCATTTATCTCCACAAAGCCTGTCTCCCTAGGGGGAAAGGACTGAATTGCTCAGATCATTGTGGCTATAGATCTGCCTATATTCTTTACTCATTCACAACATAGTCGAAAGAAGCACTTTAAAAGTTAATTAAATGGAATGGGATTCTTATGATTTAAACTCCCATCTATAAAAGTTTGATTTAGCAAGTGTGTAGCTGTAATGAGTCTATCATTTCCCACAAATTTGCTTTTGCCGATTTGGTTGTTCCCTGGCTTTAGAGCAATGCTCCACTTTAAGTGAAAATGCTCATACGGTTCATAATGGAGTGTGCAGAGAGATACCTGGCCTCCATTGAAAGAGATATCCAGTCGGAACCACTCCTTCAAAGGTACGATGAATTTAGTTTTTACAGCAAGGTCTTCTCCTTTGACAAGGTGCATTTGAATATGCAAATGGCCTAAAAGGAAAATTAAAGCTCATGAAAATGACAAAAAATACCTAGGAGTGAATGAAGTAGCTATACCTTTTCAACGATTGTCCTAAGAAGCTACAAGACTAAATAACATTCCTTTTTCCTTTAAACAAAAAGCAAAACCAAAAAATACATTTACAAATGCATTCCTTTGCAAGGAAGACATTTGTTTTAAGCTTCTAGAAAAAAAAAAGTTCCATTTGAAGCCCATGTTTGGAAACCATCACTCTTGCTGAGCGGCCACGTTGACAATATCTTCCTTATTCTAGACAGACGTATCTGTCAATAGACAGAGCATGAGAAAATTACAATATCGTTTTAAAGGTTCTGTTTTATACTCACCCTCTTCAGTAAGAAATATGGAAGGCGTGCCATACATCTCATTAGAATCAACGAAGTACAGAATCCCACAGAGATTGGCCTTGCAATAATGGAGTAAATAAAGCCACAATGAAACAGTAAACCTATAAAAGTGAGGGGGAAAAAAATTCTGCAGATTGATATCATCCAAGAACAGGTAATTACAGTTAACAATGACCGAGTAAATTGCTTTCTTTCCAACGAAGGGATGAATTTGCCTTCGTGTTCATCATGGGAGATCAGCTTGCAAAGCTTGATTTTTGAGACAAAAGAGGTAGTTATAGTAACTGCAAAAGACGGGAGTTAAGCTTCACTGTACAAAAACTAGCCGACATTCCACCTTGCACTAGAAACTCTGTTTCTGCACCTCTTCTTTGAGACTCTCGCATGCCTGGTATTTGAATTCTTGATTAAGGCTTATAAAGTCTGAGATAAAATAAAAATCTGGATTTTTTAATAAGAGGTGATTTGATAAGAAGCTATTCTAATTTCTATGATTAAAAGAAAAAAACATAATTAGGGCTTTTTGAGCAATTTTGTTTCTTTCCAAGATAAAAGTCGTAAGGCAGAAAAATGTAATCATCTACAAATGGCAACGCTACGTGGAAACTGGGCCACATGTATACTCATTTAATACTCACATTAGGTGAACTGAATACAGTGTTACCGTTCTGGCTGACCAAGATGGAACAACTAATCTATTCCATTCCTGGATTGGGGCTATTTTAATTAAAGAAAAATATCGTACATCTGTGATTTGTAGAGTGAAGATAAAATATTGTAACAATAGCCAACTTAACTAGGACACATTTAGCCAAGATATGTGGTCCATTAATCATTCAGAAAAGATCTGCCGAACTCCTGCTCGATGTCGCACCTTGTGTTAGTGACCAGTAGTTCAAAGATGAGGAGGTGGGAATAATTGCATTCTCCACATGCAACATGGATCAAGGTCAAAAGAAATGCATCAATTTCTCTCCATTTTCCACAATAACCAATTCACAGTTTGGTTTAAAGTAGCAGTAGGCCCGGGGTTCTTTGGGGATACATCCTAACAAGTCCTTTAGAATATTCTGGGCTTTATAATCTGGCCTGAAAATTAGTGGTACGATATGCAAACAGATGGTGCCACATAGCTCCCTCCTGACCCACCCAGCTGAGCAAGCTCATGAAGATAAGTTATTACAAGGAAGCTTAGCAAGAACATACGCTCAGTAAAGTGACTCAAGATCTTTCTACAGCCAGCAGCATGGGAAGAATTAAATCCCTCTGCTAAATCCATCCAGTCTACGGCGAACTGGGAACCATTTTCAGCATCCTCAGCTCAGCAGAAGGAAAAAGATGTATACCTGGGTTTTGCTGAAAATCAGTGGAGGAGACCAGAAGTTGTGAGATTTCAGGCAGCTCGCCCAGTCTTTCGGGACAGAAAGGCAAAGCCAGGGCCGCAGTCTGCCGGCTTTGGCTAGCCGCACCTGCCACCTTGCAAGGCCTCAGGCTTCTACACCTTACTGCCCACTCGCGTCACTCCTGGAACCTACATGTTAAGGCTAAGGCAAGCTGAGGATTGCTACATGCAAGAATAATTCAAGACTAATTTCAGGTTTTCAGGCCCACAAATTCTGTCTAAGCCATTTAGATGGCAACGTTTTTTGCAAAGCACCTTACAACGGTGGGTTCTTCTAAGTTCTTCCACTAGCCTGCTCTGGTCCTCACTGACACCAGCACCGCCCGCCCAGCCCCGCTCTGCCGCCCATCCTTACACTGGGTAATCCATCCGCTGGCGTCGCGTGGCCTCCAGTTCCCGGTTCTGAAACCTCGGGAGTTTCTTTACGATGCCGGTGTTTTCTCCACTGGAGGCATAGGGAAAGCCAAGAAGGGCGACCACATCTGCGAACAGCAAAATGACTCCCTTTCAACTCTCTCCAGAAAAGCATTCCTTCCCGAATCACGCTCTTCCTAGAACCTTCTGCCCAGCTCCGATCAAACATTTAAAAGAGGCACCCTAAAATATCAGCAAACATTTATTGACCACCATATATATACGCCAGGCGCCGTGCAATGCGCTTTACAGAGACTACCTCAATTAGGGTTCATGACAACCCGAGGAAGCTGACTCTAAGATCAGTTCCATTCCACAGGCGAAAAGCCCAAGCCTCAGTTTACAGAGTTAATATGTGGTGGAACCAAATTTCAGGGTTCAAACTCAAGGTTCTATGTTCTTAACCATTTTACATGCTGCCCTCCTAATGCCAAGGAAAGCATTTTGAATTTGTGTTATAACAATAAGTTAATGCTTCCATCACACTGACTAAGGCCCAGACACTGCTGTCACCATTAATTCTCATTATATTTAATTCTCATTATTAATTAATTAATTAATTATTAATTAATTTAATTCCCCAGTCTACCGATGAGGAAATAGAGGCACACACAGTTGCCACAATAATATTTAGTGTATGCCAGGCAACATGCAAAACACTATTCAGGGATAATCTCATGAAATTTCACAACAAACCACGAAGTAAGTTCTTTTATTATCCCCATTTAACAGATGAAAAACTGAGTCTCAGAGAGGGTCATAGTAAGAGGAGGAGGTGAGGTTCAAGCTCAAGCAATTTGGCTTCAGAATCCATGCCCTTAAAACTGCAGGGTTTGTTTTCTTTTGTGCAGACTTTCCACATAAACTCAACACGCTACCCTACACAAAAATTACTAACCGTACCCCTTAAAACTGGAAAGTCTTCCGCTTTATTTCACAAACGTGGGAGAATTCTGTAGCTCTAGAAAACATAGTGATGTCCATAACAAATTTTAAAGGGAGAACTGAGTTGTTTCATCTATATTTAATACCTGCTGCTTTACACAAGGCTAAGTATGAATTTTCTGTTTTCCATATTCCCCCCACCAAAGAAAAAAGAATTCATTTAACTCAGCCTGGGAATAAAGACACCTTTTTCTTTCCTAAAACACTCCTTGGTTTAAATATCTATGGTTACATGGGGGAAACATTCTATTTCCCTGAGCTTCTTGGAGAGAGAAGAGCTGATTTCTGTGTAAGTCACCAAATGCCAATATTGGCACAAATTATGGGGGCCACGGCCTAGGGTGCCGGACGTGTTAGTTCTCATTTCCTAAAGGAAAGTAATTTATAATAAAGACTGGTAACTCTGGTGCATTATAATATGAAAATCATAAGAGCAGTTTTTAGAATCTTAGGCCCTTGTGTATATATTTCACAGGATTAAATAAGCCGATTTCCCCCAGTATCCACAAATCTACCTGTTTTGTTACAAGTGGAGGCACATGTGGAAATACACAAGGGTGGAATTATCAATTTCAACAGAAACATTTCACATTTTCTGTTTGTTTGTTTTTTGTTTTGTAATTTGAGCTCAATTTGGACACACTGGACTTGCTGGTCTGTTATGGGAGTGGCGGGGACGATTAGAAATGGAAATGGTGCCAAGGTGTCTTTGGAATCTGGAGAAAAAACTCACCAAAGAGGCTGACATCAGCTCAATCTCAGTTCGGTTTCCACCGTGTTGAGTGGAGCATGAGCGACCAGATGGCCATGTTAGACCCCTAGGAGGCCTTCTGCTAGTGATTGCTGTTGAGTGATCTAGTGTGTAGTAGAAACATTTGTCAAAACAGACGGATTTGATTCTGCCCAACCTGACTCCAAGAAAATGAGGCTTCATAAAGGAGCTTTCCAAAGCGAAAAGAGTTAAAAGTGCACGCTGGTGAGCCTCTCCTTTATCCAAGGATCAAAGTAAAACAGGTCAAACAGGACACCTTGCAGCAAAAGACTCTGGAGAGAAAATCTCAAACCCAAAGATCTAAAACAATTTTACAGACACACGTACCTTTTGTAGCCAACAAAACCAAAGGAAGGGTAGATTTCTTGTAAAATCTGTAGCTTCAATACTTCTATAATTTGGAGTTCTACTGTAGTTTCCCCTCAGTATAAATATTGTCTTTTCATTATAATTAGAAGTAATTAACAGGAAGGAACTTTGGAGCAGGAAAGGACTTTATCATTCATCTAGCCCAGGATAACATGTAGGCTTATTGTCTAGTAAGTGCTATAATTGATGAGAGCTGTCTGTCGCAGGCAGTAGATGGGGAGGAACAGTGCCAGTGCCATCCACCATTAAAGAACTTACAGGTTCTTACAGGTTTTCCTACCTAGGAAAACTTAGGTCCAAAGAGGTTTAGAGGCTTGTCCAATTTCCTCTAGAGTGTGAGCTCCATGAAGCCAGGGACCTTACTTCATTCACTACTCCATCCCTGCAGCCTAGAACAGGGCCCAGCACTTGATAGGCACTCCCATGAATATTTGACGAATGAATGAATGAATGTAGCTGTGGCCAACTCAGGATTTGGATCAATCTCCTTTTTCCCCAACATTTATGTGCACCATGCTGCCTAAGCCAGATAATGACTTCTCTTCTTTCAAGTCCTTCCTCCAAATCCATTGCTTTGGCTTATCTTGCATGAGGAGGTTAAGGTAGAGGTGGGGAAAAAAGGCAACATTAAGACATAAACTAAATTACCAGGAAAACAGTTCATGTTTAGAACCCTTCCCCACTGGTTGCTTTGCTTGCATTATTTCCTCAAATTTTAGAGCAAGAAGAGATGTCAGGTATTATATGGTGCAAACCCCTTCATTTGGAGACAAGAAAAATTGTGTCTGGTTGAAGGCTGTATAGCGGAATAGGGCCCGGCTCTGGCTCAGACCTGGGCTCCCCACTGCAAACCAATGAATGGGCTTTTTGTTAACCACACCTCCCTACAAGCCCTTCCAGAAAGAAACTCAGGTGACATTCAGCTGCTAGCATGCCCCTCGAGTGGCTGTACCCGTGGCTAAAACACTGAAACATGTCTAGATTGGTTAGATAACTGATGTTGCCTTCGATGCCCAAGGCCCCGCCGCGGCCCCTCCTTCAGGCTGGAGCCTGGCTCAGCGGGGCCCGGAGCCCGGCCACTCTCTAGCTCAGAGTCCTGACACAGACACCCCGCTTTGGGGATGGCCCCGTCTCCTCGTAACAAAGCCCTCCTCAGGCTGTGCCTCAAACACACCACGCTGACGCCGCCGAGGTCCTCAGCCACACGCGGAGAGGTGACAGAGTCTCAATGCAAGGAATCACAATGACCCAAAGTCTGCACGCAGAAACTGGGGGAAAAGAAGGCAAGATTTTTCAACTTGGAGAAGTACAACTGGAACACAGGTGACGCCATAATGTTTCCCAAACACGGGAAGGACATTGAAGAGGCAGCGCCAATCAAGCCATTCGGTTTTCTCTAAAGCCAAAGCCCGCGAATAAAATCTCAATTTTCCAGCAAATATGATTTAGGCCAGAGCTTCCCCCAGAGAGGATACCAGGCGGCGTGAAGCGGGTTACTAAGGAAGTCTGGGGAACATTCAATACCAGGAGTCTTAAGAATAGATGTCACTCCTACTAATTTATCCTCCAAACATACTTACGTGCATGCACAAAGATACATGTACACGAGTGTTCAGTGTAGCCCTGTCGGTAAACGCAAAAGACTAGAAATGACCTGTGTGGCCATCAGCAGAAGACAGGTTAAATAAATTAGGGGCTGTCAGGCAATGGAAGGAATGCTAAGGAGCATGGAAAAGAATGAGGTCCTGCATCACGTCTTGATACAGAAAAGTCTCTACCGTGCTATTAATGAGCGCTGGGCAGACTTTCTAGTATTCTCTCATTTGTGCAGGAAGAGAAGGGGCTACAGTGAACACTTATGTGGGCAGAGAACATTTCTGGAAGGAGACACAAGAAACTGTTGCTAACGAGTTTGCTTCTGGGAAAAGGACCAGAAGACTAGGGTGGGCGGAAACTTACTCTTTCCCCTAAACCTTTTTACACTGTTCCAACTTTTTCTTTTATCACCAGGTACATGTATGACTTTTTTTTTTTGGCTGAAAAAGAAGGGAACGAAAGCTTAGAGCGCGTTTCCCTGCAACAGCGAGAAGGGGCATCTCGAGGCCGCCCCACGGGAGGCCCTGGAGGCTGCCAGCCTCGACCACCCAATCTGCTTTAAAGGCACAAAGTCCAGTGGGTGAAGAAAACAGGATGATTCACATCGATAAAAATTCAACTTTAAAAAAAGTATTCCTTCTAATTTAGAAACCTGGGTTAGGGCTGTATTTGCATATTTCAGAGAGGCGGCATAACAAAGTCAAGAGAATCAGGAAGTTTGGACTCCAGTTAAACAAACTCCCCTAGTCTCGGTTTTCTCCTTTGTTAACGGAAGGATGAGAATAACACTGTCTTTCCCATGTGACTATTATGAGGATTAAATGAGACAATGCGCATGGAAAAAGTGTTTTGAAAATCAAAAAGGGCAATGCAGATGCTAGGCATTAATTAGTGTTATTACTGAAAAATTCAGACTACCATCATTAACTGGGGGAAAAAAGAAACTAGGTCTGTTTTTTTAAAGTGCCAAATATATAGCTTATAATTACAAAAAGTTGTCATCATACCATTGATTTGAATAGTCCCGCTGTATAAACTTCTTTCACAAAGACAAGTCAAGCCTGGCTCCAACACTTAATTTAACTTTCAATCACTTTGTTGTAATGGAATTTTGTTATAAGGAATCATACTTCCAATCCATTGGATCGTAAGATGAGAATGCATTTTTAGTGAAAGAAAAAAAAAAAAGGAAATTGCCATGGTCCCCCAGAGTTTCTTATCTGAGAGGGGAGATAGGAGAAAAGTTCATAAAGGCAGGCACTACCACAGAATGCCTGATACCCATTGACATGGCATTTAAGAACCTTTGAGGTACGCCCCTAAACTGCCTTTCTAGTCTTATTTCCCAAATTGTCCATCTTACACCAGAGATTCTACCCTGGTGAA